TCAATGAAGGTGTTGTGTTATAATATAAACCCTATTTAGTATAATCATCATAAGTTTCAGAGTTATTTATGCTTTAGTTACTATTCATTCCAAAAGTCATCTGGGATTCGATTGCCAAATATATTATAAGAATAATCCACTTTAAATGTAAGAGGTTTAATAATTCTATATTCACCTCGATCTCGCCTCTTAGCTTTCCAGTTGCAAAAATATTCATCTATTATTTCTTTATAAATGACATTTCCATCGTATAATTGATAGTATATACCACGTGACAGGTTAATATCTGAGTCCCAAATAAGTAGCTTAATTCGTTTCAGTGAACGGATTGCCAAAACGTTTTACCACAATATGCTAATATTGTATCAGTTCCATCAGATGTAAATAAAACAGATGACCACGTGACATGGACCGCGTTTGAATTTAACTTGTACCATAAATAAGACGCAATTTTATATTGCCATCTTAGCAGTATAGTATAATATGTACATTGTACAATATATATATATATATACAGTGTGTAAACGGTAATCGAGAACACTCAATATCTTTGCGTAGAGACCTGCTATTTGAATTCCGTTTTTTTTGGCAGTTGTTATGACATAAAAATACACATTTTTATGGTCTTTGAATTTTTTTTACTTAATTAGTCACGCGCATGCGCATGTCAACTTTTTTTTTTTTAATGGCAACCCCCTGCTTTAACCACTACTTATTTTTTACCTATTTTTTTAATGAATTTTGGTAGTTGAATCAACTTTCTAAGTCCAAAATTGACCAAGTTACAGCCTATCAAAAAAAAGAAAAAATTAGAAAAAAAATGAGCTCGATTTTCAGCTTTTTGATTTTAACTCTGAAAATAATTATTTTAGGATTGTTAAACATTGACATTTTTGTAACTATTTATTACGGTGATATTCATAAGTTATTTTAACTTCAATTACCTACTGAATAATTTACTCTTTAATTTGTGTAATAAATCATATAACTTATTATAGCAGAAAAAACGTAAATTAGTATGTTGTTTATTTCTTTACATTTAATGGATCTATTAGAACGTATTAATAATTATTAATTAATAAGAAATTCAATTCTTATTTAAGTTACCAATTGATTTAGTTAATAAAAATCTAAAAAAAAAAAAAAAATCTAACGAATGAATTGTTCAAACTGTTCTCTGCCGTGAACAAAACATGATTCAGCGCGAGAAAATTATTCAGTAATTGAAGTTAAAATAACGTATGAATATCACCGTAATAAATAGTTACAAAAATGTCAATGTTTAACAATCCTAAAATAATTATTTTCAGAGTTACAATCAAAAAGCTGAAAATCGAGGGCATTTTTTTTCTAATTTTTTCTTTTTTTGATTGGCTGTAACTTGGTCAATTTTGGACTTAGAAAGTTGATTCAACTACCAAAATTCATTAAAAAATTAGGCAAAAAATAAGAAGTGGTTAAAGCAGGGGGTTGCCATTTAAAAAAAAAAAGTTGACATGCGCACGGGCGTGACTAATTAAGTAAAAAAATTCAAAGACCATAAAAATGTGTATTTTTATGTCATAACAACTGCCAAAAAAACGGAATTCAAATAGCAGGTCTCTACGTAAAGATATTGAGTGTTCTCGATTACCGTTTACACACTGTATATATATAGACACTAGACACAAGTAATTCGACCCAATGCGTCAAATGGGAATCTGAATAAACTTTTCCTGTGAGGTCAGTATTTGTTAATTAGGTATTTATGACTTAGATAATTATACCAATGTCATATACCTACGTTTATTTATTAATAATAAAGGTATGATAAATTAATGTCCCTTAACTTCGGCATTCACATGGTGCTTAAAAATAAAAAATAAAAATTGTTAACAAAATACCAATTATACATATCACTACATCATAGTATCTATATTAATTAATTTTTTTTTTTTACAACATCTGTTTATTATAAGTGTAATCAATAATATAAATAAAAGTCATAATACCACTATATTATTTATACTATTTTATATACTGACTATTCTGTACTTGGATACAGTGACCGATTTAAAGGGAGGGGGTTGGAAGGGCCTGGGTCCCCATTATTGGCCTAATAATTTACCGAAGTTAATTTCTACTTTAATTTTAGATTTTCGTTGATCCTGATATATTGTATTGATCTTACAATGATGTTTGTTTTTATGTCTGCATACACGATGTCACGATATATAGTAGAAAAATCGTTAGGATTTCAACTTTTAGGGTGGTTTCTGATATAAAAAAGGAGCTGGTAAGGTAGTACTTTTAAAAAGTAAAAATTGAAAATTCACAGTATTTATGAAAATAACCGGGAAAACAAAAACAAAATGGTTTGTGTTTTTTTCGGATGAACTCAAATACAAATAATCGTAGACTTGAAATTTTCACAAAATGTTTATATTAACATTTTTTTTAAAATATTATCACGGTTCTTGAGCTGTATTGGATAATTTTTTTAATTTTTTCAATAAATGGCAATAAAAATGTTTTTTTCTTGATCAAAACCCTTGAAATTTAAAACATAGTTCCTCAAAAGTTGCTTGTGTAAAAATTGAAAAAATATTAAAAATACTTAATAAAACATTTTTTTATAATCGTTCAATAAGTTATAATTTTAAGAAAATCTTTAAAATCGTGACAATGTGGAAATTGTTATATAGATAAGAATTCATCAATATTATGTTATTACTGGATTTCAATAAAAAAATGTCAAGTGTTTCAACCCAAATATTTTTAAGATAGCCCGAAGCTTAAATTGTGAATAAATTGGATATTTTCTCGTAAAATAACGATTTTTCAACAAAAGAATGTCTTATTTTATTGTAATTCAATAACGAATAACCGTAGATACTAGACATTTAAAAAAATTAATATTTGCTAAGAAATTAATAATCATTAAGTACTAAAATTGTCACAGTTTATTTTATGTAATAATATGCTCACGTATAAAATATTAGGTAGGTACTATAATACATATTATATTAACCTTAAATATATTTAGCAAATAGGGGCGATCCGTATAATAATATTAGCGCCTCTAGAACAATACTGCCACAACTCAACGTGTATTGTTTTGAGAAAAAGCGTTATGATATTTAAATCTATGATATTTTAATGAGTTTTTACCTATGCAGTTGGAACTAAAAGATTAAATACTAGTAAACATATTTTACAATAGGTATAACTTTTTAAAATATTATGAAATACTCTCTTATCAATTGCAAAAAATACAATACCACCACTACTCTAAATATTTCTATTTTTAACACAATATTATCACACGATAATTAGTTTTTGCTTGGCTCAAGAATGCCACAAATCGAAATGAGGCAGTCCTCAATTTTTACTTCAGTCTTTAATTGGATAAATTAAAATACGTTTATTGCAATATTGCCATAAAGTAAATATGGCTCTCTTGTTTTGAAAATTTGCTAACAATTATATAAACCAATACTGACAATACTTTTTTTTTTTAAAAATTCACATTTTCCTATACCGCAAAAGTTATTGATATTTTTTTATTTATTGAGACCGTTTAACTTTTTTCATACTGTAGAGTTCAATAAATTGATTAAATTATATTCTGCGGTAGTCTATAAACTTTTTCATTATTCAAGTATTTTATAGTTTAGTGTTTTATAATTCCAAGAAATGTGTAAATTGTAAATACGTTATTTTTCGAAATGAAAAATATGCTTCAAATATTAATCTGCATAAGTTGAAAATTGAATCAGTATAGAGGTACCTACCTACTCTGTGAATTGAAGTAAACGAAGCTAGAAGATTGTGTCCTCCTCCACCTCCACCCCACCAAACTACTACTGCCTGTGTATATTCTGTCCGCCTTTTTTTTTTTGTTCTTCAGTTCAAAAATACTTTCTAAACATACTTAATGTTTAAAGCGTGCCATTATCATAAATTGTACCTGAAAATGTTTCACTTACACTATCTATTACATCCCATGGTTTGTTAGTTATTTATTACACACTACCAAAAGGTGTAATATTAAAATGAATTCGGTAGTAAACAAAGTCAATACATTCTTGGGAAATAAACTAACTTAAATGGATAGGTAACATATAATATTTACTATTATATTTTTATCCAGAACTATGGAAGGGATAATACTTGAACTGATAATGTCTATGGACAGTAAGTTGTTACTATTATCAATTATGCAATACAATCGTCGTCTGAGATAAAAGTATAGAATCTAAGAATACGACCTCAAACATTAGTGTATCTGGAAGTATAGTGTTTATGTTTAATTGTAATGTCATATGATTAAAAAAACCATATTAATAATATAATCTTACGCCTAACCTCCATCAACATTTTTACAGATACATTTTAATAACTGGACATGCATTAATATTTTATGCATTGAATAAAACAACTATCTATAGATGATAACAAATAAAAAGTGAATATAATATTAATACAGTGAAACCACTGAAGTCGAGACACGCCCTTGGTACCTGAAATTTTGTCCGCTATTCAGATGGTTCAGATCGTAGAAAGTTTGTAGTTTGTTTCCAATAAGACTGTACTATTAGGAGGTGTCCGTTAGGGGAGGTTTCACTGTATACTATAGTATATTATACTTTGATTGCGTTAATATTTTTTTAGTAAAAATGTATAACTAATGAAATGGGATCTAATAGCCACAAATTTAACCAAAAAGAAAACACTATGTAGTTCAATATTATTATATAGTTTATACCTACTAGTATTACTTTAGCAGTAAAGTGCAAAATACCAAAATTATTGGGAGTATATTATTTTATTTGTAACTGCATATTGTTGAACATGAGTTTTTAAAAAATACTTATTGTATTGCACTATTTTATCATAAACCAATTTGCTTGAAACAGACTGTTTCTTGGAACATCATTATTTTTAATTCAAACATTTCTTGAACTATATAAAACTGTATCAAGTTTCTCATGGTTTTTTTGAATTTTCCTTCTTCAATGTTAAAGTGCTTTTAACTCTTTGTCCAGATTCTGAATAAAATCATTCATTTTTTCCTTGCAGTCGTCTGTATTCGATTTTATCTAAAAACGAAATATTTATGCTATTATATTAATTATGTATTATTTAATTTACACAGCGTGTTAGAAATGTATAACAATTGTAATATAAAAATATAGTCCATTGGTAACTAACCTTCTGCAGCTATATAGGTATATCTTAGGTACATTCGATGTGACTTTGACATACACATTACACTCACTGTCATATTTAAGTGCGTTGTTCTTATTGTTATTTGAAAATTAAAATTTGAGATTATATCGTCAGTTCAAGACATAGAATCTCACGATAATGGTCGTTTTAAAAAGTTAGTTTTATAGGGCGAAAAATAGGTGTCCATTATTAAGAAACCCTATCACATGCAAAGTTGGAAAAACTTTCATCCGTTCTAGTATACACTTGACATACTTATAATAATGAACTAAATAGAGTTTCCAATTTACTAAAAGTAAACCGTATTTTTTTAAATAAATGTATGTATTTTTGGAAACATAAATTGTTTTCATAAATACATTCTATTGAACACATTTTAGATTCTGAGCAGAGTAATAATTAATATATTGATTTTACAATGATATTCAGCTAATATATGATATAAATGTAAAATATAATATGTAACCAATGCCAACGATTTAAATAAATAAAAAAAATATTCTTTTTTTTGTGAAAAAATTGCATGTTGTGAGAACTACCCTTTAGCTAAATAGAGCTAGGGGTTCAAAAAAAATATATAAACACCCTCCAAGTCTCAAGGAATCTATTATTATTTAAAGAGGTCCAGTAGTTATTGAGTCTATTAACCTTGGATAAACAAAAATCAATTTTTAGCGTGAAAAAAATATATAAAATATTACGTTATATATGTGTTTTTCTTGGTTTTAGTGTACCTCAGTTCACTGGTAAATCGGCGTCCGTGTACCTCACTTTGTGAACTAATTTGACCGAGATGGGAAATTCGCCTGTGGCGGATTGGATATAATAGCACTTGGTTTAATTGGACCATGATTCAAACTATTCTCTAAAAACTTTCCTGATATTTCTAAGAACAATTTTAAATTTTCATAAAATCAGTCAATTAGTTTTTGAGTATATAGGTAAGCCAAAACGTACAGTATGCAACTCTCATATTTGTTTTAAAATATAATTTCCTTAAATAAACGCCACGGTTGTATGAATGGTTTTACTTATCTACCCGAGTGACCTGCAGTGGCAGCTATTTATATTGTTTAAAAAAATTACTAATTTCTACTATCTAGGTACTATCGTAATTTTCGAGTGTTCCAATTTTTTGATCAACTTTTCCAAATTGTCTTCGCGTAAAAACCTTATTCAAACTATTAAAACATTTTTGAAAAAATGAACCAAACTGGTCCAAACTGGATTACCAACGAACAGCATTTCATAATTTTTTATACAGATATCAACAATACCTCTTCCAGATGAACCGACGCTTTATCGTAGACACTTAACAACACGTCCTGAGCCTTCCAAATCCGACGATTCAACAAGTCGTTGGCATACAGAGTGTTACGCAACTTCGCCTGGGCCACATGCAAGTCTCGGTCCACGGCTTGCATTTTAGCATCGTCACTGTCGACTTTGGTCACGAGAGATTTTGGAGCCACCCTCACTACCGTAACTTCATCCTCATCCTGCTGCTGTATTCCTTGCAAATTCTTCGCGTTCGTCAGTTCACTTTCCAACATTTTCACATCCTGTCGAGAATTGTAAGGCCCCAGGTCGACGTACAACGGTGACGGTACATAAAAACAAATTGCATTTTACTTAAATAGTAGACAATTATACGATAAAAGGACGATTAAGATATTTTCACATCAATACACATATATAGAATTTATATATAACATATATAGGAAATTATTGGAATTAATTATATGAATAAAGCAAGTTAATATGAGCTGCAAATAAAATAATTAACAAATAATAATTTAAAATAATAACTCAATATAAAATATGACTTTATTTTTATATTGTTGGTAGTTTTTTAGTATATTATTTACAAATATATATATAATATATTTGTATAGATATTTATACATATTATGTATAATTTTAATTATATGGATAACTACTTATTATGTTAATTATGCTAACTCTTTTACTATCAAATTGAATGTCATGCAAAGATGTTTGTGCACCGATCGTATGCCTGACCTCCCTTAAACATTAGAAAAGGCATGGGAATTTATAATTTAAAGTACTTATACCTTATAAGTTATAACACAAAATTCTAGTAGCGATTAACTGCCAGTCATGACTGTGATGATAATCTGGGTTAAAGGCGATTAAAGAACAATAATAAATGTTATAAGAATTGTATGGTTTTAAAGTAGGTAATTATAATATGTAATAATCTTGGTAATAACTAATAATAATTAACAAATAATTTATTAAAAACATGAGTATAATGAAAATAATATATTTCACTCAGAGTAGATTGTAGACTATTCATTCAAATACATTATTTAGGACACGGCATTTATTATTCAAAATCCATCAAATTAACAAAATATATAACAATATTTATGATTTGAGTATTCTGCGGAAATAATTTGATTTTGGGTATAAAAAGATATACCGCAACGCTATTAATAGCACGCTATTTGCTCAACACCTTTTCTGTATTTCTATCTTTTAAATGTATTTAATGTATTTTTTATTTTTTTTTCATTTTAAAGTATAGCTAATGAGTAAAGACTATATTTTTAAATATTTAAATTTTTAAACCGTTAGTTTTGTGGTCATGTGAAATACAAAGACATTTTTTTAAAAATAATAACCATACTATTTTATTGTAAATATTGTTAGTCAAGTTTATCAAAACGTTGATCCATCTAAATTTAAATTCTAAATTATAATGAATAGTTTCTGAATTCTTCAGCTTTATGTACTATCTTTATATTAGATACTAAGTGATATGATGTAATCTTTTATAGTTTAATACTTATCAGTTATCACACTCGGACAATTTGTAACCATCATCCAATTTTAATAGAGAAATATTAATTACCATAATTTTTAAATCATGATATCATGAGATCAACTGAATCCATTGTCATGGTTTATATTATAGACTCAATAATATATGTTTAATACATACAATTTTAAAACTAATCGTCCGAATGTCCATATGTGCATAATATACACATCAAAATTTTAAATAAAATAATATGATTAACAATTTACAGAAAAATGGACAGTTCTTGTTTGAAAAATATAACTTTATGTTGTGATTTTCGCAGGAATCACTTAATTCTTAAGCGACATGAAAAATTTATATATTTGAAATTATGGTGTTCAAGATCAAGCCTTAACTAAAAATGCCAATAACCAGAATTTGAGTAAATTCATGGGAAAAAATATAGGTGAGCATGCTCAGTGATTGATTAAAAATAATATTATCGATACTATTCGATTCAATAATGATAATATAGGTGTGTCGGTATATGATATGAAGGTGTGTCGAATAATTTTATTCAGCTGAGCTTACGTTTTTCTTCTTCGAACAATCATCAATATTTTTTTGTATAATTTTTTCTAAGTTCGATTTCGTTAATTCTTTAAGTGTCTCGTTAAGTAATTTATTTTCTTCCTTCAAATTGAGAATTTTTTGTGCGTGATCAGCGTTCTGTTTGTTGCCTATTTCCACCTTTAATGAGTAGAAATGTATTTTATCAACAGTATCCGCAATAAATAAACGTAGGTACCATACCATGTCTTTGAGATCGAGAACCTCTTTGGTACTAGCCCCTCCGACAGGACATTCAACCGCCAATGATTGTTTTTTCATGTGCGTTGAGAAATCTACACATCGTTTTAACATGATTCTTTTAGCGCTAAAATTGAAATGAACAACAATAATAAATTTATTAATTATTATAAGGTCATCAAATATTAAAACTACACAGAAAAGTCTTAATTTATTATTTTTTAAATCAGCTACATACAAATACTCACATTTGTTCACTTTTATATTTATTCTCCTCGAGATTTTTCAATGCAATACCATAGTTTTTATCCGTGATTACATTTTGTTCTTTAATATCTGTGTATTTCTGTTCGAGTATTTGTTCTTGTTTGGAAAATTCGTGCAACTTATTTAATCTTCCCACTGATATGAAAAAAAAAATGGTATTTCATTGTATACCCGTGTTTTATTCGCACAAAATATAATATTAATATTACGTTTTAAAATTTATGATTTGTATATATATTGAATGAAAAAAATTCGATAGGCATCATCACAGTTGTACACTTGTACTAGTTTTGAGCAGAGGATACTTCACCTCCTGCCTATATGGCGTAGTTTTCCACTTCTCACTGGTCGATTTTGTTCCATGTTATATATTATTATGTAGGTATATGGTCGACAGCTAATAAGAAGTGAAGAACTACGATAAAGGCGAAGTAAAGAGAGGAGGATGCGTATCAAAATACTGTGATATAATACCTACCTAATTTGTCGTGCTGTAATGTACTACCCACCGTATATAGCAGTAATCGATTTATATTTTCCGGTTTCTCTGATGAATTCATCGTGTTGTTCTTTTAATTTACTTAGGCCTGTTTCTTCCATGGAATCGAATTCCTATACAATTTTTAAGCACGACAGACTTACCATTAAAAACATTCAAATTTCAAACTATCAAAATAAGTGGTCCAAACTTGTTTTAGCTGAGCGATTTCCTCCTTTAATTGTTTTTCATGATTGGTTTTCTCGTCCAAAATCTTTTTCAAATATTCGTAATCATCTTTCAATTTTTTGTTTAAACGATTGGTTTTACCTTTAAACTTCTCGTTTTTACTATTGAAATCTTTGATCTCATCATTCAACCTGTGGTACGTAATAAGGGTAATTTCACAAGACACCGATTTCAATATTCTACTGACAACTAAATATTTAATTTTTAACCTAGTAATAATTTTTTCTTTAGCATCAAATTGGATTTCAAAAAATGTCTTGCCCACTTCATTTATTTTAATTTTTTCTTGATCAATTTTATCTTTACTTGTCTGAGGCATAATATCTGTTGGTTGGATTGAAATTTAAAAACAAATTTTTAATACAGTTAGTATGTATGCTCCTGAACTATATTATTGATGACCGAACAAAATAAAATCAAAAAACAAAATTTTAACTGTAAGCATAGATACTGAACATATTATTATTTAAAAAACATGAGCCAGACATACAGTTTTGAACACTTTCCAAACATTTCCATATAATATAAATTGCAAATAAAATGTACTGTTATATGATTAATATTAATTAATTATTAGTTTTATATATATATATATAATATATATAGTAGCTGATACCGTGCACTTTGTTGCCCGTTAAATATACCGACTCTATATGACTCAAACTTTGTTCAATTCGTTATTTAATATTCGGTTTATGGTGCTCAAAATTTATCTTAACTTTTCTGTGGCCCGGAATAAAAATTCTGATTCGCAGCAGTATAGTATCAGGTAGGCAAACCACCTGCGGTAGATCGCGGACACCGTGCTGTTTGTACGTAAGTGTATGATTTAACTCTAATGTATCAAAGTTATACCAAGTTTGTCGTATTCCACCTATGGTGGTATAATATAATCAATTAATACAAAATCCTAACCCAACTTAACCGTACTAATATATAATAGTAATCTCAAAATCCCTATTTGAGAACTTCCCCGGGTTGGGTTTTTAACCCGAGTGAAATTTGAATATCACCTTTTTGAACAGTAGAGCAATTCAAACGTTTTGGTTTAGATAGTAGCAATAATATACAGTAATAATAATAATTAATAACACAGCTGAGGACACGGGTATTATACTATTATTCATGAAAAATGCAATACTCGGGTAATGCCGGGTAATTCAGCTAGTATTATATAAAATAAATATCCGCAATCGATTCCTAATAGGATATCACAAAAGTATAAACACAAAACAATCCACTGAAAATAACGACAATCGTATTGATCACATCGTGATCTAAAACAAAACAAAATAGACATAATAATATAATACCTACAACTATGCACCCGAAATTCTCGAAAAAATACTCAAAGACCAAATATTTAGAACTCACCAAATCAGGCAATTCTAATATCAATATAATATTTACCATAGTAAAAATTGAGAGAAGATACTCAAGAGAACAATAATAGTACCTATTAATATTCACCTTTTGTAATGCTATAGGGATTTATATTATATAAACACTGGGCCTTCAAAAGAAAAGACAAATTGTATTTCTGAAGTCAACGTTCACTTTTCGTGAGCCCGACTATAATATACTTATAATATTAGAATATATTTTAAAACAATCTCAATTTCCAAATTATAATAGGTTAATTAACAAACTGATATCAATAGCAAATAACTGTTATATGCTAATATTATTATAACACACTTGCCACATATTATAATTTATATAAAATGCAAGTATTGGGAAATGATAACAAAAAAAATTATCTGGATAAATAATCGTATTCATAAACATCTCTACAACACTGGAATGGATACTTTTGTGGGTAGGAAGACCGCCACAAAATTTTACGCTACCAGTGCGACACAACGCTATTTTTTAATCCAGGGGTTCCCAAACTGTTTTGGTTTGAGGCGCCCTATTTGAACAAAGGCTTTCTAAGAGCTTCCCTTCGCATGTGTACGTATCCATAACCACCGAACATAAACCATTCATTGTGGACCACATGTATAGCACCACAACATATTAATACGATTTGCAAAATAACAATATTATAGATTTGAAATTTGTGCCATATAGGTAAGGTTTTTAACTCTTGACCAACCAAAATACCAAATAGATATTTACTTCTCACCAAAAAACATGCTGAAGTAGAAAATCAAATCATTTGACTTCCACAAAAGATGATGACAGAAAAAAACCTCAATGTAAAATTAATACATTAATATCTCTACTCAAATCCAAAAAAATACATATTATCATGAAATCTGTAACAATATAATAATATTATTATGATATACATCAAACATAAAATATTATATAATTATACCTAATATTTATTCAAAATAAAATAAATAAATATGAATATTTTGAATTTTAAAAACAGTTTAAGTATAAATATACTGTTATAGGTACCTACATACCTAAAAAAATGTAATAATAACAACATTTCATAGCTGTAACCTAAATAATATAACTGAAGACCAACACACTCAACTACTAAAATATATAATTTGTTGCATCAAAAATAATGTACATTGGGTAGCACGGCATTCCAATGCAATAATATATTAACCTAAGGTACAATAAAGAACTGGCGCATTGTCACGGGCAGAAAAAGATCCCCTCTTATACAAATGTTAACATAAAGGGCGATCTTTACCTATTACAATACTGTCACGTATTAAGAATCGGTCAAACGACGGCGGGCATCTTCTCTGCCACCAGCGATGACGGGTGGCCGAAAATTTTTTTTTACCGAAGAGAAAGCTATAGTTCTTGGAAATTTAAGAATCTTTGTTACAGCAATCTGTGGTGTGCCCAGGAATTTGTAATCGTGGTTGTAGTAGGAGGGTGTTACGAGTAAGAACACATTTAAATTCATTTTATTAGTAATACCTAGATATACCTTAGATTTAATCCCTAACCCAGCCACCCACCCACCTCACCATTACAACACCACTACCTGTGGGTCTCTGGCCAGCCTGACCGCTACAGTTGGTAGCATGAGTGCAGCATCATATTATACTGATCATTCAATCAAGCATCATATCAAACAACACTTATCCGGTGAGCAACGTCTGGTTTCTTTAATTTTGTAGCTGTGAGGTAATATAAATATTTTAATAATTATAGTAATTTAAATTATTATATAAAATAGTGAAAATTGTATCATTTTGTATTTGCTCCGCTCTCTAATATAATATATATAATATCTGATAACACAATAAATTAGATAATTGAGTATATAGGTAGAATATATACCTAATACCTATAGGTAGAATCATATTTTGCAGCATGTATTAGTGTAGGAAACCATACGGAATTCGGATGTACGAAAGGTACCTATAGGTATTCCTAATTATTAAAATTATAGACGATTATTTTAGCAGTAGACACAACAACCTTGGCTATATGACATTTATACAGATAATATATTTTACTTTGTTTACTTCATTTAGGTTCTGATTTAACTTATTACTTTGCATTAATTAACGCACTGTTATGTGTTTTAATATTTAATTTAAAATTGGCTAGTGTTAAAAATGTTCAATGATTTACTTACTTGTATCATTTTGATAAAATTATGACAATCATATTCAAACATTTACATACCTACCTACTAAACAGGGGTGGCTACTAATCTTAATTTTGGGAGCCTCAAATTCGCAGCGAGCCACATTGTTAAGATATGTTTATAAAATTAAGACACATTTTTCCTTTTATATCAAATGAAGGAACATTTATTTAACATTTATTTATTTATTTATTTATAGAAATAACTTAAAGCCGAATAAAACTGACTCGCGAGCATCGTTTGGCCAACCCTGTACTATAAGTAAACTATCGAATTATACATATTTGTAATATTTTGTATTTTAACTTTGGACTAATTATCGCGATATTCAGCCAACAATATTATGTCAAAAATAACATAAATAATGCAAGTGACTCATGCAAATTAGGAAATAAGGAAAAATAAATAACAATAACACAAGATAATCTTAATTTTTATATGTGGATCAGTAACTGTTTTAAATTCTTTTTTTTTTAAATTAATATAAAATCTTAATAATTACAATTAAATATTTATTACAGGTCTGTTTGCTATTTTTGATATTCCAATCGTGTTGGTATAATATACCTATTCAAGTTTTACAAATTTGTATGTAAGTATAAAATTCTTAATTAATTATTTCATTATTATTTTACACAATTAATAGGTATAATATTATTGTCATTTTTTTTTCAATCACGTTTTAAAATACATTATTTCTATTTATAGTCATGTTATAATTTAATTTTTAAATACTATAGAGTGTTGCAGGCCCTATTTTTATGTGCACCACGACACACAATGTGCAATACGAATATACAAGTGTGCACTACGATTTGAACGTGTGTGCACTACGGTCTACAAAACAAAAATTGCCAAGTCAGGGATCGGCATGTAAACTTTCTTGATTTTGAATTTTTAGAAATTTTTTAACTGATTTAATCACACCCAAGCGGTCAAACAATATGAATCCAGAAAAATGTCGGCGTGAACAGCCCCACAAAAAATCATTTTCATTTTCATTTAGTGAGATAAATCTCCGAAACCGGACAGCGAATTTCGTTGATTTTGGTCTTGTTAGATTCACATTGGTTAGGAGAAGTGCAGTGAAGATCTGCAGAACTTTATCTTTAATAGTTAATTCACTACAGAACATTAAAATAAATTAAAACAAATTTTATTGGGCGTTTTTTGATGTTTTTCATCTTTACAGCTTTGTAATGAATTAACGATTTTAGATAAAGTTCTGAAAATCTTCACTGCAATTCTCCTAGCAAATGTGAATTTAACAAGACCCCAAACAACAAAATCCGTTCTCCAGTTTCGGAGATCTACATCTCTAAATGAAAATCTAGAGAAAATAACTCTTTTTTTTTTATCTGTGAAAAATTAAATAATTAAAAAAAAAAAAATTAATTCCATATTTAGTGTCTACCTGATAATCCCTGTTTAATGAGTTATCAACCAAATTTCTAGCTAGGTATCATAGTTTAGGATAAAAGTTAAAAAATAGAAATTTTGGGACTGTTCACGCGAATGTTTTTATCGATTCAAATTGGGTATACCGCTTGGGTGTGATATAAAATCTCTCTTATTAATATTTTATATTAAAGCTAGCTAAATTACCCACCTATTCATCATTACTGAGTTACATTTTTATTATTTTCCTATTTAACACAAATTCTTGAAGTTTTCAAAGTTCAGACTTTTTTCATTTCAATTACTATACTTACTTGATGAAAAATCAAGAAAGTAATATGCATTGTTAT